ATGCATCACAGTGTGGAGAGGTATTGAGGCCGGTCTGGAGCTTCTAAAAAAAGGCATCATATGGCGCATAGGAGATGGTAAGCGTATACAGATCCAACGTGATCAGTGGATCCCTAGAAAGGAAGGCCTCAAGACAGCGTCTTTTATTAGAAGATCGAGGCTCCGTTGGGTTAACCAGCTCTTGCGCCTAGACATGAAAGAGTGGAATGAGGAGTTGGTTAGACAAATCTTCCACTCTTTTGATGCGGATGAAATCTGCAGAATCCCTATCCCAAGCTCAACGGCGGAAAATTGTATCGCATGGCACTATGAAAATAATGGAAATTTCTCGGCGAGGAGCCCGTATAAGCTGGCTGCATCTATCCAACGACAATCCATGCTTCACCCGTCGAACTCGGCGGGAAGTGGAGATGATCGTAGCATCTGGGACCTAATTTGGAAAGCAAACGTGCCCCCAAAAGTTAGGATCTTTGGTTGGAGGGTTGCTACCAACACTTTGGCCACTTAGAAAAATAAGTGCAAACGGACAATCATATCGGACGCCACATGTGTGATCTGTGGAAACAATGAGGAGGATGAATTCCATACAGTCATTCCTTGCTCAAAAGATAGAGCCCTACGACATACAATTAGAGACGTATGGGGGCTGCCGTCGGAAAAGGCCTTCAGGTACACGGGCGGTGACTGGCTGCAAATTTTGCTGGACTCGGCGACCCCAGATATCCGCGCCAAAATCTTACTCCTACTATGGAGATGCTGGCATATGAGGGATAATTGTGTGCATGGAGATGTCAAAGAATCGATCAAAGGCCTGTCTCTTTTCTTGCAGAGGTACATAGATGAGTGGGAAAATGCTTCCCTGAACGTACTATCCGAGTCTGGAAAGAAAACTGGAACACTGGTCAGTGGGCTGCCGACTAAACCTGTCAACCAGCATAGTCAGTGGTCGGTTCCAGCACCAGGATCAGCAAAAATCAACTTTGATGCGTCGTTCATACTAGACACTGGCGAATGCTAGGCGGGACGGTTGCTAGGGATCACCGTGCCCTCGTTTTCCTGTCCACATGCAAATCGCTGCCTCTTGCATGCAGTGTAGAAGAGGTCGAAGGTCTGGCAGCTCTGGTTGGTCTGGATGCGTTGGCAAATGTGTACAGGGGGCCGTTGGAGTTGGAGACAGACTGCAAATCTTTAGCTGAAGCCCTCAATGCAGATGTGACTGTCCGTTTGCCGTCATATGGAATCATTCATGATATAAAAGCAGCGCTCGCGGTCTTCTCGGATCATAGAATCTCCTTTGTGAGGCGTGAAGGCAACCGACTTGCTCATGAACTTGCAGCTGAAGCCAGACATAATGGAGACAACTTGATCATTGCAGACGTCCCGGAGAGACTAAGATACCTAGTAATCTCGGATTGTAACCCTGCCTGAGTTTTTACTCTGGCTCTCAAAAAAAAAACTGGACCGGATCGGCGGTTGGACCAGAAAAGACAGAACCGGTGACCTCAGCAGCTGGTTAAGCACTGGGGACCATTCACGCCTTCAAACCAGGAAAACCGGCAACCAAACCGGTGAACTTGGGTGGTTCGCAGCGAACCGGGCGGTTTCATTGCCGATGCCAAAAATTGAGAGGAAAGGCTAGAAAAAAAAAAACTGATTTCCCCTCCCGCACGTTCCTGGAGCCGGATCCTCTAACATTACAGAGCGATGTCAGGGCTTGACATCCCTTCAGGAAACGGACGCGGGCGTCGTAAAAAAAAAGAGAAAGAAAGAAAGAAAGAAACTCTCCCGACTCCTCTGCCACCACTGGGCGCTGGCGCCGCCCAGTCATCGCTCGCGCCGCCGCGATTCGCCGAACTCGCCAGCATCGTCCGCGCCGCCCGCCAGCGCCGCACCTCCGTCCACGCCGGCCGTCCGCCCGCGTGCCCTCCGTCTGCGCCGCCCGTCCGCGTCCTCCAATCGTCGGCGGCACCTCCGTTCGCGCCGCCAGCGCCGTACCTCCGTCCACGCCGTCCGCCCGTGCCGCCCCTCCGTCTGCGCCACCCGTCCGCGTCCTCCAATCGTCGGCGGCACCTCTGTCCGCGCCGGCTGCGCCGTACCTCTGTCCACGCCGTCGGCCCGTGCCGCCCCTCCGTCCGCGTCCTCCAATCGTCGGCGACACCTCCATCCGCGCCGCCTGCGCCTCTGACTTCCTCCATCGCAGGTCAGTACATATGGTGCGTGGATCAACTGAATTGCTTGATAGCTTCTGAATACTTGGTGCGTGTGAAGTGCTTAGTAGCCACTGAATTTTTGCTTGATAGCTTCTGAATAACTTGCATCTTTGAACCAATTGGCACTGATTTGTGTTGTGATTGGTGATATGAAAGGATACAAATTGCGAATCATAAAACCCACCAGGTAGCAACATAAGAAAACTTAGTAAATCCTTACAGTACCAAAATAATTCCTACCTTACTAGCTACCAGTACTCCACCATTTGGAACATTTGGAACATTCAGAACATAGAGTACAAAGTGTAGCAGCCAAAATAATTCCTACCTTACTAGCTACCAGGACTCCACCATTCGGAACATTTGGAACATTCAGAACATAGAGTACAAAGTGTAGCAGCCAAAATAATTCCTACCTTACTACTCCCTCCGTCCGAAAATACTTGTCATCAAAATGGACCAAAAGAGATGTATCTAAAACTAAAATACATCTAGATACACCCCCTTTTATTCAATTTGATGACAAGTATTTCCGGACGGAGGGAGTAGCTACCAGGGCTCCACCATTCAGAATGTGTCAACACCTATCTCATCAACAATAGGAGCTGTCAACAGATTGGTGAAACTTTCCATGAACTCGTATTTTGCAGTGCTTGCTTCCTTCGGTTTTGGTATTGGTTTGGTCTTTTTTGCTGATTATTTTGAGACAACCTTCTTTACTGAACTAGTCTGTGATGGTATGTTCTCCTTTTCTCCCTGCTGGCTGATGGAACAATCTTCTCTTTCTTTTCTCGCTGTGGTCACAGATGGTGTTTTCCTCCTCCTCTTGTGTTGCCTCTCAAGGAAACCTAATTTTTCTTTTAGAGCCTTTCTTCTCAACCTCTTTTTTCTTCAGACGTGCAGCACTCAACAATTCATTTGATGTTTGAGTCACTTGTGTACCACTCAACGATTCATTTGATGATTGAGCCACCTGGACATGGCATCTGTCTTCAACATTAGTTGTGCGTGCACCCAATAGTTCCTTCACTTGCTTAGTAGCACTAATAAGTGCATTCTCGATGACAATACAACATTCTTCAGAGTTGGCTGCTAGAGTTGCCAACTCACAACACGTGTGTATAAGAAAATTGTATCGGGTGATGGCATCCAACTTTGGATTTTCAACTACAGTCCGTCCACAACAATCTTTGATGGATCCTGACCGTGCTTCTCTTGTCCATCGCTTCAAAATGTAGTGTGCCGGCAACAACTTGATATTCATTAAATCAAGAACTTTCAAAGCATGAGCACACAAAATTCCTACTCTCTCAAACTGCCCACAACTACATGAAGCCGTTTGTTGGTGATTGTCTCCAACAACTTTGTATTCTTCCTCAAATGTTGCATATTGCCCATCAACAAGCCTTCCAATCTTAACCATGTATTCATTGTCTCCAGGTAGTATGTGAGCACTTGCTGCCATTGACCTCCCATATTCGGTTTGAAAAGCTTCAAATATAGCAGGAGTATAAAGACTACTGACTTGTTGCAACATTGGTGTGGGGATTTTGATTCTAGGTAGACTCTTCCTAGACTCGTACTCTGAATTTATCTCAGTGTCTCTTTTCACTTTCACGGCTCTTTCAAAATGATGAAAAAAGCGGTTGATATCTAAATCTGACTTGAGATGATTCTTGAGGTCATTGTTCAAACTTTCACTTAGTTGTGTGCTTCGCATTCCCAAAGTGAAAGCATCTCTCATAAAACATTCTGCCCACTTCTCCTTTACCTTATAAATACTATCCATCCAAGTTTGCTTTTTCACCTTGCTTCTCATAACATTAAAAGCATCTTCAAATGTTTCTCGGTCTTCATATTCAAACATACAAGCACTGAAATCTTTGAGAAGAGATGATTCATTTTCCTCATTATCTCCCTCATCCACATCGTCTTCGTTGTCTTCACTATTCTCTTTGCTGGGTAGGTGCTTGATAGCATTTTGCATAATGTGGAAAGTGCACAGCCCATGTATTGATTCTGAAAAAACATGCCCTACTGCCTTCCCCATAGCACTATCTTGGTCAGTAAATATCCAGGCTCTCAGGGGCCGGCGGCGCTCGTCTCCAAGCTATCCAGGGAGGCCGCTCGAGTACAAGGCTCTCCAGTGGACGCCGCCGCTCGGCCGCTGTGCGCTTGAGTCAGGACTCCAAGGTTCCCCGTCGCCTCCCGCGACTTTCTATGTGTCACTGTCCCGATTCTTTCCCGTACTCCGTTTTACGATGCTTTCTCTGCTGTCAGTTGATCATGTGATGCTGTAGAGAATTAGAGATTAGTGTATATGCTCTATGTTGTTGCGGTTCACTGTCCCGATTGGAGTTGCTGCTTGTTAATTTGCTATTGAAGTATTGGTGGCTTGATGCTTGTTGGCTGTTGTACCTAGTCATATTTTTGCGTGCTTGTATGCTGGATGGAGCCATGGTTGCATATGCGGATAAATTTGTTCGTCAAATAGAGACTTTCTGCTATGGATGGTTGATACTTGGTAGCTTGTTGTAAATGTGTTCTTGTGCATCACATAAACTGATTGCCAGTACTATTAGTAATGTCGAACATAATTTCCATGAAAATGAATTGCATTGCTTCATACCTTCACGAGCGCAACCAAAATTGGAGGAGAATCAGACAATGAGTTCACGTATATGAGCATTTCCAACATTTATGCAGGCCACCATCCCTGCATCGGCCACTTGCGAGCAGCGGCTGTTCCCATCTCTACGGGTGCCTCGCCAACCACGTGGGTGCTCAGAGATGGGTCGCGGGCTTCTTCTCCCCCACACGAGGAGGCTTATGTTGTTCATGCGGCCGATGCGCTACTCCGCCTCTGCCACCGTGACCGCTGGTTCTTCGCGCGACCCGCTCCACGTGTGCGTCGTCGGCAGTGGCCCCGCCGGGTTCTACACGGCCGAAAAGGTGCGGCCATTTGGTTTCCTTATTTTTGCCTCTCTTTGGGGGTTGGTTTCTTTGCTTATCCCGTGTCCTTTTCTTCATTGTGATAGTTTTCAGTGCTTTCTTCTGTGCTATAGTTGCAAAATTTCCCTGAATTCAGTTATATGAAAATCTAAATGCTAAGGAGCAGTATTAGCCGTGGAACCGTGTAGCTTAATAGTTCTTGTAAAATGAGATGTGGTCTGAAAGCTGGAACCTGCTGTTGCAACAAAACCTTAAACACGAAACCATGTTTTTACAGCAACGCATATGGAGTTTTCTCTTGCATATGTTGCAACAGGAGAAGGAAAAGAACATATTCACGCTAAAGATCTTTCGAAGGGTTTTTGTTTCAGGAGTTACTTTAATTCTTTCTGCGTACTTGTTTGGTGTTCATTCGGTCTTTTGTTGATTAAACAGATGCTAAAGGGTCATGAAGGAGTGCAAGTCGATATTATTGACAGGTTGCCGACACCGTTTGGCTTAGTTCGTTCTGGAGTGGCTCCAGATCATCCAGAAACAAAGGTGAGCATTCCATTCTGTTCTCTTTTTTTGTGAGTACGCAAGCGTATAGTTCCATTGATAGAGAGGGAAGAAAAAATAGTAGCTGTGACTCCCAAGCTACATGCACAAGAGGGCGTAGCCGGGAGCAGCAGGGAGCATAGGGCTAGGGGGTTGCTCAGCCCCAATACAGAAACTAGGCTACATCGAGAATGTTGTTAAGTCCTGTGGCTCCAGCCTTGGCCCAAAGCTGTGCCTCCTCCTGAATGTTGAGTGTAAGCTCCGCGGTAGATGGACACGCGTGGTCTTATTGTGAAACTAAAATGCAATAAATTTTAATCTACAGTAGCTACTACCGTAACTGCATGAAATTAAGAAACATGTTTTCTTTAGAGTTGGACAGGTGGTTTACTTCCTTGCATCATATTGAAGAAGTAATTCATTGGTTCAACCAATATCTGTACAAGTTGCTTTATCGCCTCGTGATTTTACCTGCCTTCTCAGTTGGCATACTATAGCACTAAATAAATCCCTTAGAAGATTAATTTTTCCATGTTCTTTCAACAGATTGTGGTAAACCAATTTTCTCGTGTAGCTGCGAATCCCCGCTGCTCTTTTTTTGGGAATGTAACACTTGGAAGTGATGTATCTCTATCAGAGCTTCGAAAGACATACGATGTTGTAAGTAGATGCCCATTGGTCTATCCTTTTTGCCAAGTAGCTATTTTCTCTGTTGCTATATCTCTATGAAGTTCGTTATGGATAATGCTGACTTAGTATTACTGATTAACAGGTTGTTCTTGCTTATGGTGCAGAAAGTGATAGATCATTTGGTATTCCTGGGGAGGTATAACATATTTTTGACTTCCTATCTTTATGCCACAGATTTTGATGGGCACAAACATCATTTTAGATTTAGTCTTTCTTTTATTGGTCATTAATGGTACTTTGTTTGTTTAGCCTCGTCAGTGATTTATCATGTATACCACATGAGAGTAGAGTGCATATGGTACTTGTATTGATATTATTACCAAAATAAAGAAACCACCATAGTTTGCTTAATCATCTATCAATAATTGCACATGAAATAGTATCACTGGAAATACAAACTCAACTGGAACATGCTATTACGTGCTATAGGCGTAGCATATAGTGTGTAAGCATGCTTTTTTTTTCTTTGTCGTGTCTGTGGGTTGGTTTATTCTTGATATCTTCTTTATATATATAGGACCTCAGAGGAATACATTCTGCTCGAGAGTTTGTATGGTGGTATAATGGGCACCCAGACATGTGCAACTTGGCACCTGACTTGACAAACACAGATTCTGCTGTGGTCCTTGGACAGGTATATGATTTTGGTCTTGTAACGGAATCACCATTTGAATTTCAAACAGTGTATCAACATTATGGCATTGACAACAATAACTTAGTTACACACTCCTCAGTTTTTCTTAACTTGAACTACATCCGGTCCATAATTTCATTCTAAATCAAGAGATCCATATTATTTCATTTAATCTTGAAGTACTATGTCACTATGTAAAATGGTAAAAGCAATTCAAGCTCCTTCGGTAGAGCAATCCTGTTTGAATTGTCATAACTCTGTTGCTGTTATAGGAAGTTCGTAATTTAGTGTGTTTATTACCCTTCTTCTGGGGTGAGTATTGTGCTTTATTTTTGTTTTCACAAGATTTTTGGAAAGAGATGTCCTTCTGTGGGAACATGGACATGAGTGTTCCATCATATGCCCAATGTAATGTGTGTTTTTTGTCATGCTATTAATTATAATCAAGGGAAATGTTGCGCTTGATGTCGCCCGTATTCTTCTTCGCTGTACAACCGAGTTGGCTTCCACAGATATTGCTGGTTATGCTTTGGATGCTCTCCGTAGCAGCACAATAAGGTATCCCTGATTTTGGTAGAAGACTTTCAATTGTTTTCAGCTCTTCTTTATGTTAGAATGATAATAAAATACTTGTGTTGCATTTGGCGGTTTATGTAAAGGAAGGTTTACTTGGTTGGGCGACGAGGCCCAGTACAGGCAGCTTGCACAGCAAAGGAATTACGTGAAATTTTGGGTAATTACAAAATGTGTAAGACTTAATACTTTTTTTTTCTTGAACACACACATCAATATGAGTGTCATTTTGTATTAGACTGACATCATGCTACATTCTTATTCTTAAACTGACATCATGTAGGTTTGAAAAATGTGAATATTTGCATCAAGGAGGCTGATCTTGCGACATCGCCTGCGGATAAGGTTTGTGCAGTAAAGTATGGCAGGCATTGCACATTGTGTTTTGTGACTGACCGGGTCACCATCTATTGCTTTCTTGCCCCATGAATTATGACTAGGCTAGTTTCTGAAACTCGACAAATTTAGGGATCCGAATGTGTTGCTCTTTACCGGTGGCAGCTAGAGCCAGTTTTTGGCTGGCTTGAGCTGATTCTGCTCAAATCTGCTTCTTATTCTTGCACATGATCATGTTGGCTAAAATGTTGCTTGTAATATGGGAAAACTTTGTTATTGGAACCGAGGCACCTAGTTCTTTTAGCACAAAGCATGCTGGTAGAGAAACCACTGCGTAGGGGACGGTACAATAGGGAAATTGCATGGTGCGTGTGGGCTGTTAGGCAACATCTAGGATGGGGAGGGGCAGAGAGATGAAGGATAGTGAGCAATGGCCATTTATCATTAAAAATCCTGCACTTCCATTTTATTTTCTGTGAGCACTAGAACATCAGGAAACTAATTTTAGTGAAGAAATATTGGAAGTGTTTTGTGTATACATAAGATCAGCTATTTAGCTAGAATGTGTTACTGAACCCATAAAAAAAGGTCGGTGTATTTACTGCTCTGGAGAAAGTGCAGCACTCAAAACTGTTGGGATTCAGTTGACAATTAGCATTTAGCAGCATTCTGTCCATTTTGGTTATGTGCTGAGATTGACACTGGCCAATAAATGTTTAATCCGATAAATGTTTACAGCTCTTGGTTGCAACAGTTACAAAACAACCTTTGCTAATGTTTAAATCACAGTGCTGTAAAACTTGTTACTCGTACATGTCCGTCACTATGGTATTTGCAAACATGCTGCTAAATTGACTTTCTGAATGTTCCCTCCACCTTCTCTGATGTGGTCTTCTCGCTTGTGATAAAAGAAATCTGTTATCTCATTGCAGGAGGAGATGAGGAATAGTAGAATAAAAAGACGGGTGTATGAGCTGCTATCGAAAGCTGCTACCGTGCATCAGGAAAACAACGATAATGACCAAAAGGAGCTTCATTTTGTGTTTTTTAGGAAGCCTACCAAATTTCTCCCTTCAGAAGATGGTTCCACGGTTGGTGCTGTGGAACTTGAAAAGACTCTCTTAAAAGGTCAGATGAGGGAGTATTCTTGATTATTTTTGGATATAAGTTTTGGCGATTTGTTTTGGGTACAAGTTTTGACAGTTACTTTTGTTGGTTATATAGATGATGGAGCAACTGGAAAGCAGGTGGCAGTTGGAACTGGTGAGTTTGAAGAACTAAAATGTGGGTAAGTGCTTTAGCTGATATTTTCTTGAATTTTTATGTGACCAATTAACTCTAGGTTTCTAAGGCCCATCTTAAGTATCTATCTTCTTCTTAGAATTGTTTTGAAGAGTATAGGTTACAAATCCTTGCCAATAGAAGGTTTGTCCTTCGACAAATACAGAGGTGTGTGGTATTGCCTTTTTATTTACTGCCCTTTCTAATCCATAAAGAAGTTTTTTCAATAATGTTTGTTTAACACTATTTGTTGCAGGAGTTGTCCCAAATTTGAGGGGCAGAGTTCTGTGCAGTGAATCAGAGACTGCCACGGTGGAGCCAGGACTGTACGTGGTAGGATGGTTGAAGAGAGGACCAACTGGGATTGTTGCTACAAATCTCCATTGTGCCAAAGAAACGGTATGTACTTTAAATCATAATAATAATAATACCATGGTGGAACTGCCCTTATGATATCTTGGTATTTTGTTGGCTGCTTTTCGTCCAAACAATTCCTAGGCGCACGTCGCTGTGAGCATGCAAATTTCTGTGCTGTAAAAATAATAATTTAGCTACACTTACAGTTGCTTTATTAGACACCTCCCTTGTTCTGCCCAGCACACAAACCGGCATGTTTTTGGCTTATGGTTTGGTTGAAGCTTCGTGCTTCATCCCTGTAATATACTCCCTCCGTCCGAAAATACTTGTCATCAAAATGGATAAAAAGGGATGTATCTAGAACTAAAATACATCTAGATACATCTCCTTTTATCCATTTTGATGACAAGTATTTGCGGACTGAGGGAGTACATCATATGGAATTTGGCCAGAATGTTTGAAAACATAAAGATGTGAATTTATTTTACACCCAAGTCAGAAAAAAACTTATTCTGCATCAAGGTATGACGTAATTTGTCGATTTATAATGGTGTTGCCAAGCAAGCTGCTCGATGAAAGTTGTCTTTGAGGAACTGTTCTAAATATTAGTTGATTGACAGGTGGATAGCATCCTTGAAGACGACAGGAAGGGCGTACTCACGGACCCATCTGGTCCAAAAAGGCAAGGCCGGCGGGGACTAGTTGAGATTCTAGAACAGAAGAATGCCCGCTACGTGCCCTTTGATGGCTGGGAGAAGATCGACTCCAAAGAGAAGACGGCCGGCGAGCTGAAGAACAAGCCTAGGGAGAAGATCACAAGATGGAATGAGCTCCTGGAAGCTGCAAGGGAGGGTTAGTTGAAGGGCCACACATATGCATCTGACGGAGCTGCTGGTTCATGCGTAAACTGAATCAAAGAAACAAACTACGAGGGACAATCTGAATACTGACACAACAGAAAGAAAGTCAAGTGCTAATGTGTCTTAGCAATGAATCATGCGTACCAATACTGGTTAAAATCCCAAAAGGCTCGATCACTGAAGCCACATGAAACTACTGTATTCGTGAGATGCCACCTCGTCTAAATCATGAGCATTCTTTTGATGATGAACATCTTCAGTCTACCACTAACACTAAAACTATAGGCTTACCCACGAGTGCGGCTATTCTGCCCGGGTCTGAAGAGTAAAATCGTTTTAAATAGAAAAAAAAAGTGGTGCAAGATGCTTAAGTGTGTGGTGACGGTGCGAACTCTGGAGAAGTTTGGACATTGAAGGCGCTTGTGGCAAAAAGGCAAATTTGGTGCAAAATTTCTCTTTTTTGCTATGAGCTCCCTGAATGTCCAAACAGCCTGAAATTTTGCATGAACATCACACATTTATACATCTTGGATGACCAAAAAAATCAGTTTTTTTTTAAGTTTCTGCTATTTTTTTGCTGTTTACCGGGTGTAGATAAGTCTAGATTCTGAATTGCATTATTGCTAACCCCACACAACAGAAGTATTAAGTTGTACATCATTCATGAAACAACCAAGTAGAGACACATAAAAGATGACCTGTAGAGTACTCCCTCCGTTTCAAAAAAGACGACTCAACTTTGTACTAATTTTAGTACAAAGTTGGGTCATCTATTTTGAAATGGAGGGAGTATATGTGATGCGCGTGTCCCTTGATAATGGAGCTAAAGCCACGGGGATGATCCTATAGTGCTCCGCACCATGTAGCCACCAAGAACACTACAAAAGATACATGGTGATCCTGGAGGCTATCGAACTACACAAGACATGTAAGACGTGGCATGGAACGCATACTAACAGCCCTTGGCCGCTGGCGACCGCCATTACGTGAGGAGGAGGGGTAAGCAATGCTTTGCAAAAAGAGGGCAAAACCATTGTTTTGACCCTTTTGCCAAAGTTTAGCATGATTTGACTCCCCGTCGAAAATTTAGTACGATCTGACCCCTTTTAGTGACGCCATTCATTATGACGTTTGGGTTGCACGTGAGACATCATGGTACATGTCGTGTCCTCTTTGACGTTTGCCCAGCTGGGGTAAACGCCATGGACCATGGTGTCTCTCATGCAACCCAAACGACATGGCACATGATGTCATCAATAAAGGTCAAGTCGTACTTGTGAGAGTCTGACTTAATAGAAGTGATGGACTACTCATATCAATAAGAAATTCCTTCTTTTTGGGAAGCTCATTCGAAAAGAACTCAAAAGTTAAGCGTGCTTGGCTTTGAGGTAATTCTATTCTAGGATGGATGATCAATCAAAAAGTTGGTTCCGGATGCTCACGAGTGAGGACAAAATGCGTAGACAGCTCAGTCCACACACCCGACATCCATTCAGAAACAAGTTACGACGGCAGAACGCAACACACACCAGACATACAGACACGCACAGGCTCACTCAGATCCTATGAGGCTGACATGGAACAACTCTTAGTTGTTACAGAGAAAAGTTCAATTCAGAATATCTCCTGGGTTTCATGATGCTGCCCGCTCTGCTGTCTTCTTCTCCTTGTCTTCCTCACCCAAGAGTTTCCTCCGCTGCTGCATAAAGAACAAGAATTTGAATGTGAATTTGAATCCGATAGTGTAGTGTCAGTATTGGAGTAGATTCTGTAGGCTCATTTAAGTACCGAACTGCAGTAGACATGCAAGATGTCTCTAAAACTTACTCCACTACCGCTATTAAAACCTGCATAAAGCTAGCTAGCGCAGTGGATTTGACTGTCATCCAGATGATACTCCCTCCGTAAACTAATATAAGAGCGTTTAGATCACTATTTTAATGATCTAAACGCTCTTATATTAGTTTACAGAGGAAGTACCTTGTAATGCAGGAAGCCAATCGGCGAATGTGAATTCGGGAAACGAGCCGAGGTCGCGTACGGCTACTCGGAAAACGTCGGTGAGCACGGTCCTGGACTGCATCATCACGGCCTTGAGGATCTCTTTGCCCTGCAGTTGCATCATCAGATCAAAGTATCAAACACGTGGCCTACATGCTGCATTGCTAGTTCAGTTCCAAGATGAAAATGGAAACGGAATAGATGGAATGGAACAGTAGTAATTAAGCCCGCCTCCTTGAACCCAAGCTGCACGTCGAGCTCCCGGAGCGCCCCGACATCCGCGGGGCCGAGGGCCGGGCACAGCGCGACCAGCTCGCCCGCCGACGACGGGCGGACCTGGAGGTCATCCGTCACTATGTACCTCGTCGCGGCGCCGCCACGGACGAACCCCTCTGGCGCGGCCACGCCCGCCTCGCCTTTGCCGGCCGTCGATGAGAACCTGGGCGCCGGCGGCACGTACCGCGCCTCCAGCGTCATCTCGTCGCCGCAGGACGGGCACCTGGTGCCCTTCCAGTCCGTCACGTTCCTGGCGCACTCCAAGCAGTAGATACCGGCACTAGGGCACGTGTAGAGCTCCCTCCGCGGGTGGAAGCTGTGCTCGACGCGCGCCGGCGGGGAGAGCACGGTGGGGTGGAGGAGCGCCTTCTTGTCGGCCACGCCGGGCTGGACGTGCGCCGGGTCCAGCCGCTCCACGCTGGCGTAGAGGTTGCCGACGGAGCCGCCCGCGCCGCCGAGCGGGGCGAGCAGCCGGTCCGCCCGGCCGAGCGGCAGGGCCAGGAGGGAGAAGAGGAAGTCGACCACGTCCTTGCCGGCCTCCGCGAACACCACGCGCCGCGCGCCCGCGTCCACGAAGAGCTTCATGCTCGCCGTCGAGCCTGCTGCTGCCATTGTTGGCGTGGGGTGGCTCGGGCTGTCCCACGTGCTGCGGGCGTCCTCCATTGGCGCGGCGCGCGTGCACGTACGCGAGTGAACTGAGGAGAGTGAAGCGAGATTAGTAACCGTGCAACTGCAAAAATCGACGGCCGAGATTCTATCGACAGCATCGTCGACGCCATTAGTCAAACCTCGATCATCTCCTCGGTTCACGCATCCCTCAGTTCGAAAATACTTGTCATCAAAATAGATGAAAAAAAATGTATCTAAAACTAAAATACGTCTAGATACATCACCTTTTATCCATTTTGATGACAAGTAAGGAGTACAAGTCTTCCATTAGTCAACGATTAGTCTCTAGTCCGACAACTCGATCTTACGGCTAACAACAATTAGTGCTAGTATAGTAAAATGTGCTGCTTTAATCTAACTTTTTTTTCCTTTCTGAACGGGATCTGCTAAGTCGGCATGCACCATGGTTACGTACCTCCGTCCGTGGTTCGGTGTTGCTTTAGCTCCAGTCGAATTACTCTTCGATCTATCCAGTCGTTTCTTCGCCGGATAAATGATTCACCGGAAGGCAGTGGTGTGGTTCCTGCCGGAGACGGTGCACCCAGGCGCCGGATGCGTGGCCGCCGACGCCGTGATCAATCGAGAGGGGGAGGAAGCACGGTATAATTAGCCCTAATCTATCGGACGGGTAAATCGTCCGTGGTGTGTGATCGTGTGGTAGGCCGATAAGAGTATAGGGATACGAGAAAAAATGGGTCTTGCACAATGGGCCGCCCATCCAGCCGACGCAAAAGAAGAGCCTAAGCATACAAATATGAGCCCTAAAAAACATAAATTTAACCTCTTCTCAAAAAATTAAAAATAAATAGCTATTGCATACTGGACATAAAGAGCATACATGCATAAGTAAATGGCCCCACTTCTAAAAAAAAGTAAAAAAAAATTGAGACAAAAAAGTAAATGACCCCAATATCCGGCGTTCGGTCGTCAGGAGGAGCCTCCAATCAAACGTATTCGTTCGCTGGGGTAAGATCCTCCAGCGAACATGTCTCGTGTTCTCCAGCGGTGAGGGCCATGGTGACCCCCCAGTTGGCCCAGAGGCCCGCTAAATAGTTTTTTTTTTGAGAAAATGCCATGAACAAAAATCAGAAAACAAAAAATGCCACAAAGGTTGCCAAGTTCCTAGTCATCACCCTCTTAAAATAATGAACATGTCATCCTCACAATAATAAAATGTACCTTTTATTATAAAATGAAAGTACATGCTCTTATAAATAAAATTGTCATCCTCTAATAATAAAAATGCCATCCTCCTATCTTAGAATAAAAAATGCCATCCACTTAAATCATAAAAATTCCATCTTTACAATAATAAAAATGGCATCCTATTGTATAATAAAAAAATGCATCCTCTTATAATAAAAAATGTCATCCTCTTACAACAGAACTACTCTATGAGAAAGTAAAAACATCGGGATTTTTGGACGAATTTAAAAGCAAAACAGATTCAAAATGCCGAGTTATATATAAAAATTGTTTTAACACAAATGTCCACGAGACACCTCTCTAGCCCGTTGGAAAAAAAAGCCCCGCGCACTCGTGAGAGGTCGCGAGACAACAAACCAAACGTAGCGGAGTTGATCGGATTTCTTGTGGTGGAATATGTCCACCTGAATTTAAGTCTTCAACTTATCACGAGTGCTTGTACTTTCCTGAATTTATTTCAGGATTTAACGGTTTTATTATTTCAGTGGTATGTGACGTGTCCATTAGAAGTATGCGATTTTACCTATCAAAACAAGGTCTACCGATAGCAGTATGCATTGAAAACGACACGTCGTGCGCCATAGTAGATAGTACGGTGGTTTTAAGAGCATGTTGATCATATTTTGTTAATACTTAGCAAAGTTATGTACCTTTGAAGTTCCTAAATATTTTAAGAAAAATGTTTAGAAACTGGCATCTCTATGTGCAATATGATAATTTCGGAGTGATACATAAACCAAAAAATTAGTTGTGGCATATAGTTTGGATATTTAGGTTCTTTTGGTGGAACCAACCCACATGGGTTCAAGCTACAAAATATCGGATATTGCGTTCGTATCGGTTTGGCTTTGACATATCAGATGTCGGGTATCGGGTGATATCAGACGATATGTAGATATATCGGAGTAAACATGTCTAGTTTTTTCTCACTATGTTTGTTCAGAATGTTTAGTTTTAGTAAAACATAATGTATGATGTCAATGCTTTAACATAACACTTTTAGATTCCTAGTTTATTAACTTGTTGATTAAGAAACTATTAAGGAAAGATTCAAAAAAATCCTTACTCTATGATTAAAAATAATACGATATATATGCATTTGTACGAAACATTGTGCATGACTTTGATAATATATAAGGCAACATATCTTGTGAATCCGGGCTATTTCTGTTGGAAATATGAGCAATTTACCATATGGTTTAATCCACAGAAATATTAGATAAAACATGACTACTATAGCAGAGATGAAACAAGTCATGCAATCTAATAGAGAGAAGGCAAATAACATGTACACATGTGAACTAGAACAAAAACACATCTAGAACAAATACTAGAAGAAGAAATTGTAGCAGGATGTCAAACAAAAGGAACATGAACACGTACTGTGATGTGGCAGTAGCAATAGCATTGGCGTTGACGTTGTCACCCATGTCGTCGAAGAGGTCGTCGACGTCGGGGAAGAAGTCGTCGTTGGGGAGGTGGTCGTCCGTGCTCGGGGTGTCCATGATGAACAGGTAAGTAGTCGTGTAGAGCGCTCTCCAAAAACTTTATCACCCTTCTTCCGTATATGACTCAAAGAGGTGGGGCTTCAAAGGCCTACTGTCCTTACCTGCGATGCACGCCGCAAGCCGGGATGGGGAAGATCGTAGCAGTAGCTCAGAGCTCAGGAACTCGATGTCGTGAGGAAGGTGTTGCTCTGGTGTGTCTCTCTGGAGAGGAGCAACCCCTCTTTTATAGGCACAGGAGAGGGAGGCGAACGGGCAGTGATACGTCTCCAACGTATTTATAATTTTTAATTGTTCCATGCTGTTATATTATCAATCTTGGATGTTTTATAATCATTTCATAGTCATTTTATATCATTTTTTGGTACTAACCTATTGACATAGTGCTAAGTGCCAGTTGCTGTTTTCTGCATGTTTTTTACATTGCAGGAAATCAATATCAGACCGAGTCCAAATGCAATGGAATTTCGCGGAGATTTTTATGGACCAGAAGACACATAACAGGGCCTGGCTGCGCCTGGGGGGTGCTCCGAGGAGAGCACAACCCACCAGGGCGCGAGGAGGCCCAGGCTGATAGGTGGGAACCCGATGAACGAGTTCACGCTCGAGGGTGGCCCGATCTTCACGTCTTAGGATCGAATCGAGAGGGATAACTAGTTGAAAGCTGCCGGGATAACTAGCTTTATACCTGCCAAGGTTGGATGCAACCCATACGTTGGGGATGGCTGACCGAAGCTACAAGAACTCCAACCCGATGTTCGAATAATCGCAGAACCATAAACCGGGACTAATCCACACAAAACGGCCGGAACCATAGAGCACGAACTAGGGGGAACCAGAGGCTCCTTCTCGCGAATCCGAATGAACTCACAAGAGCAAAGGTAGCAAGATCTTTCGGATCTCTCTAGCAGTCTTGCTGCATAAGCTTGTAGCTGAATAGTTTGACAAAAGGTTATCTAGAGGATAGGGGAGATGGGGTTTTATAGAAGGGACATCCCCCCTTAGCTAAGTGTGAAAATGGTTTCAAAAGTAAGCAGGTTTGCATGGCTTCCTTGGGTGAATAAGCAGTCAACTTTGGGAGTTGTTGAGAGCTCCTCGAAAATTCGCGAAGTCTTGACAGCCTCGACACCTTCCACGAGAATGACTAGTATTTTGACTCACAACTCCAAATGATGTGAGGGTTTTTGCATTGGAAAGATAATTTGATGTAGCTTCTGTTAATGTACCCCTATGGCCCCGTCTCTCCACCATATGGGTGTGCCACCACGAAACATCAGAGGTAAAAACTGACAACATCAACTTCACTTGAAACTTGTTTTCTTCAAACTCGTTTCTCTAGACCGGTTGTTTCAAGAGCTCATAGCTTGTTGGATTTTTTCCATGTGATACCTAAGTTCAACCAACAACAATGAGGATGAAAGTGCAGCCATGTGTTCAAGATTGTGATATGAACTTAAGTTAGCGTTCACCTGGCCATATGTTTGCTTGATTCGGCTTAGTAATTCTTTCCAACTAAATTGTGCACTTTTCTGAAATGTCATGTATGATGTACCCATGTGCTCATCATCCTCCCTCCCTTGATGAAGAGTCCTCCTTGACTCTCTTTGATCTGCAAAGGATAAGTAGAAGGGAAGTCAATAATATCCATGCAAAGAAATGATGCAATTCTCATTTGTAGCTTTCACCTTTGAATTGTGTTGCATCTGATCATGTACTTGTTTGTCACAACTTAGAGTTTGTTCAGGGATGATTGGTCTTGTTTCAATGACCGAGATGTCCTCATCATCCCCCCTTTCTTGAAAAGGAGTAGTCCTCGACTCTACTTGGTCATAACACAAAAGAAAACATGGCAATACCAAATCATAATGCAAATGTTTCATGATATAGAGTATTTTAGTTTTCAGCTTTGCTATATTATGGAAAATGCAAACATGATGTTTTGTTCGACTTAGTAGTTCCTTCCAGCAAATATTTCCATGGATCACAAATTTGTAACCTATCATCATCATGTTCTTATCAGCCTCCCTCTCTAGGAGAAAAGTTGTCCTCAACTTTATTTGGTATGCAAAATTATAGCACAAGGAAAATACAAAATAACTAGGAAAAGAAAATGATGAATAATCATGTGCAACATTAAGTTTTATTGGACATTTTATAGCCTCTTCAAGATTAGCAAAACCATATTGCTGGATGGATGATGTACCAAACAATTTTTCTCTAATCTTATCACGCCATTGCTTCAAAAACTCATACGTGCATACCTCTCGCTTCATAAAAATGGAA